GCACTGAACTATGAAAGAGGTAAACCTTCAATATGCAACCTCCAAATAGTGGTATTTCTCAAGTGTCCCCCTCTCTCTCCACATTCCTCCCTAAGTGATCTCATCCAATCCCATGGCTTTCTATGCTGAGAACTCCCAAATTACTTCCCACTCAGAACTGCTCCTTGGGTTCCAGACTTGTGTATCTAACTGCCTCCCTGACACCTTGGTTTACGTGTCTTACAGGCACTTCAGCCTTATAAGTCCAAAATAAATTCTTCAACTATAACTCCACTGCAAAACACCCCCAAAGAAAAACATCCTCATCTAATCCACGCCACCCTATTTTTGCCATCTTACCAGCCACCCATCATCTCAGGAGAACCTAAGAGTTACCCTTGACATTTTGCTCTCCCTGGTTTGCTATGTTCAATCCTTCCATAAATTCTTTTGACACCGCCTTTAAAAATACTTCCAACTCGTCAACTTCCACCTCCACTACCACCAACCTAATGGAAAACACCAATACTTTTCAATGGCATACTCAATAATAATCGAGGGGCGCCTGGGTGGCGCAGTCGGTTAAGCGTCCGACTTCAGCCAGGTCACGATCTCGCGGTCCGGGAGTTCGAGCCCCGCGTCGGGCTCTGGGCTGATGGCTCAGAGCCTGGAGCCTGTTTCCGATTCTGTGTCTCCCTCTCTCTCTGCCCCTCCCCCGTTCATGCTCTGTCTCTCTCTGTCCCAAAAATAAATAAACGTTGAAAAAAAAATTAAAAAAAAATAATAATCGAAATTGTAGACAATTCCTAAAGAGAACCTGGGTCAACCAGGTTTCTTCCTTACAAGCCTCCAATGTTTTCTGCAAATGAGAACAGAAACGGGTTTCCCCACTGTATAGAAATCGAATCTCAACCACTCATCACGGCCTTTAAAGCCTTACAGAACCGCGGCCACACTACCCCTCTAATTTTATCTTGTATCGCTGCACTCCGAGCTCACATTGGTCCCCTTTCTCTAGCTGCCACCGCAGGGACTTAGCCCAAGTTACTGCCTCTGCTTAAAGTAGTTTTCCCTGGGCTTCCAGATTTCAGAGTTGCCTCTTACGCTTTAGGTATCAGCTTAGAGACCCCTTCAGACTCCCCTATCCTCCACCTCGGCACCAAGCTCGTTTCCTTCCCAGCGCTGATAACGTGCAACTACGTTCAGCCTGTACCCTCAGCCCCCAGCGTGCACAGGGTCGAGTGGATATTTGCCACACACGACAGAAAGGCTGACCGCCACGGGCACGGGCCGGGATCCTAGAGGGAAGGAAGCTCGGGCCAACCCAGCAGCCCTCTCAGGGCAAAGTAAGAGGAAGACAAGTCGTGAACCCGCCCCAGTCGCCAGTCTCCCGTCTCCTCCAACTCTCCCAGAACAGAAAAGGCCACAGAAGACTATCCAGCGGGTGACAGGCGCGAGCACCTCTACCCTCTGGCGGCTCGGACAGACCCTCCCCCTGCAGCGTGGGGCAGGGGGCGAATGAACCCCTCCAGGGGCGGCCGCCGAGGCCGCCGTACTCACCGCACACGTGGGGCCGAGGCGGGCGGGGTCCAGGCTCCGCGGCGCCACTTCCGCTTCCTCGATTTGCCCCGCCCCCAGGCCCGCCTTTTCCTTCTAGCGCAACGGAGCTGGGGTTAAAGGAGAGGCCTTAGCCAGGAAAACGGAAATTCGGCATTTCTATTGGTCCGCTTCCAGCACTTCCTCTGGAGGCGCCACGGCTGCGCCGTGCGCGGGTATTGGCCCTTGACAGGATCCGTAGGGCGATCGCGTATCGCCGGCGCCTGAAAGTGACGTCGTTAACCCTGTCGTTCCCAGGCCAGAGAAAGGAAGGCAGCTTCTCGCCCACGCGTCTGTTGTTGAAACGGAGTCCTGGGGTGGCGACTGAGCTAATACCAAAATAATTGATTTTTTTTTTTTTTTAAGAGTGCTTTCATTTGCACCCTCTCTGGTAGTCTAGCCTGAAGGATAAAAGGGTGTTCTCGGAAGTCGGTTTGAATTTTAATCCCGGGTTTTTTCACTTTGTGGCTTTGGCAAATTACTGTATGTCTCTGAATGATAAAATAGAGATCGCTAAATCACACATAGCGCTTAGCACAGTGAATGAACCTGGTAAGCGCTCATTAAATGTCATTTTTAACGCCTCCTCGTGTCTCCAGGCTGCACTATCCCATTTTCCACTCAAGGAAATGAGACTATAGTTAGGATATTATCCCCACTTTTCAGCTGGAGAAACTAACACCACATATTTGGTTATGATACTTGTCATTGGATTTAAGGCCCTTTGAGATAATACAGGACGATCTCATCCGAAGATCCTGACTTAGTGATACGGCAAAGATCTTGTTTTCCCAAATAAAGTCCCTTTAACAGGTTCTGGGGTTTGGGACATAACACACCTTTTGACGACCCGGAAAGTTGAGGAATTAGGACATGATTCCAAGTGTGTCAAGCGTCAGATTTTACTGTCTTGCAAACGACACCATCTCTTGTCCCTTAAGGCATTAGGCTTAAGACTGGTAATTTTCTAGACTTCCTGAGGGCAGGGCTGTCATTATTCAGGCACACATCCCACTACTCAGCACATAGCTGTTTAGTAAGTACTTACTGTTTGCCTTAAGTATTGTAAGTGTGTTTGCATTTCAGTTCACTTAAGTCTCATAAGAACAACTGCAGTAGGGCTTCTCCCTTCATTTTATGGAAACAAGGGGAAACAGTAAAGTTGATCGGGTGAGCCTGACTCCAAACTCAACAGGACCGCCCCTGGACTGCTTTCCCTAATCCATTGGTTCTCTAGTAAATGCTCAAAAGCAGAGATACACCCTACCACACAATACCTGGAACGGATACATTTTTCTTTGTAAGGCCACAGACAGTGGCACCACATATCCTCTCAAACACGTCCATGTAAATACCTTAAACATAGACATCAAAACCCTACTTACTATTCATTTGTCTTTTCACTAGGGAGGAAAAATAATGATCACATACCAAAGTCCTAGACTATTACCAATAATGCTATTTATCAAGTCCTTTGTGCTACCAAAAAATGAATTGACTTGAGTCAATTTTGTTTGGAATGAGTCTAAAGTGTCTACTGTCTTTGCAGAACAGCAACAACAACAACAAAAAAGCTTGTCTATAACTTTGCAATGAACCAAATTAAGCCCATTAATTCTTCAAATATCTAATGATCTAAATGTCAAGCATTAAGAATATGTGTATTCCTACAAGCATAAAATGCTCTTGTTAAATGATACAGCATGTAACGTAATCAGAACCATCAGACTTGTACACATCTAAGAGGTTTTATAGCACTGTAATTAAGATGATTGGTACTGGAAGCAAATGAATCTGGCTTAGAATCCAAGGTCCATAGGGCCATGGACAAGACAGTTAATTTGTATGGGCCTCAGTTTCTGCTTACATAAAATGAGAAAAGTAGTATTTATCTTTTGAGCTTGCTTACATGACTCAAGAAATAACTGTAAAGTTATTAGCCCGTAGTAAATGTTGAGTGATTCATACCTTGATCTAGGAGAAAGACACAGAGAGAGAACCAAGCTGTATCCATTAGAAATGCTTTTGGGGGCAAGGAATGGAAATTTCCGCTAATAGTGGCTTAAGCAGCAATTTTCTTCACAACAAAAATTCTAAAGGTAGTCAGTTTTCTAGTTCAGTGATACAAGTGTCCTCAAAGACCCAAGCTCTTTCAATTTCTGGGCTCCGCCACCCTTAGTGTGTTGGCTTCTAATGTTCTCACTTGTTGCTTTTATTTGTTTTCTCCCTCCACCCCTGTCCTTTGTTCACCCTCAGCCATTCTCCCCCTGAGTGCCCCCTCCCCCACTCTGGCAACCACCAATCTGTTCTCCGTTTCTATGACCTTGGATTTTTTAGATTCCACACAAAAGTGAAAGCATACCGTATTTGTTTTTCTCTGACTTATTTCACTGTTGCCTTCTGAGGCCAGATGTACTCAGTTTCAGGATATATATTAGAGTTTAGGACTAGGAGAATGGGGAAAGGGATGAAATCCACTTTTCCACCCAAATAGGACTCTGTCTTTCTATCCCAGAAGGAAAAAAACCGAGCAGCATTTACCTTCTATTTCAGAGCCCGGAACTGGGTTACATGGCCACCCTCAGGACTGGAAGACCATCAAACATAATGTTAATCATGGCATTTGGATGTAATTATTTTTCCAGTACTCTAGTAAAATTAGAGGTCACTTAGCAAATATGCTCCCATCCAGCAGTAGAGATTTAATCTACAATTTAAACTAATCTGGTTTAAAACTTAAAATAACTGTAGTAAGCTAAAAATTAAAATAATTGTAGTATTCAAGGTGGTGGATCTCAGTCTTGGCCACACATCAGAATCACCTGTGGAGTCAAAAAAGCAAAACAAAACAAACCAGTAATGCTGATTTAATTAGTCCGAAGTAGGACCTAGGCATTGAGGGTTTTGAAAATTCCCCAGATCGGGCTACCATGTAGCTAAATTAAGAGCCACTCGTTTAAAGAATGGATTTCTAGTTGTTGATTTGATTTCCTAGTTATCTGAGGATTAAACCCTTTAATCTTCTGGTCCTTCCTTTTGCATCACCAGAATTAAAGAATTAAATGTATAATACATTTGTTTCTGGAAGTAGAATGTCTTGGGCATAACTGTATCCTCCTTGCTGCTTGAGGTCGCCATTAGTTATTTAATATTACTATATGTTGAAAATGGCTTAAATTTGAAATATCTGTTAAATGTATTCTGAAAGATGTTTGCTTTTTTTTTTCAATTCCTCATGATTTTGTGCAATTTTTCTCTTTTTCATAAAAATAAAGTGTTAGGTGTTAGCTCCCACACATCTCCCCTTTCCTAAAATCAGTTCTTTAGAGTTCTAATTAATGGATTTTTAACTAATTGGTGTTGTTTCTCTGCTTCCCAAATGTGTAAGCAGGGATAAAGGGCATGTTATTGATATAAAGCATAAGTGAGATTTTGGCAAAGATCGAGTTTTATTTTCAGGGCCTATTAGAATCACAAATCCATGGAAACGGAACAGTTGCCAACACATTTTCCTTTAGTAAAAAAGAACTGCTTCTGAGTAGGGTGGATTATGTTTTTCAATACCACAGATTTGCTTAAAAGTACACTAATATAGTCCAAACATTAATCGTGCACTCCTAATGTCCTGGTTGCTATCTTAGAAGCACAAAACCGATTTTGTCCTAATTTGCTTTCTTTGGTTACACGCTTAAGGGCAGCACGAAAATGACATGAGCAAAATAAAAGTTTATCTGACCGTAGTATAAAGTATCGCTTTGAATGAAAGATCCTGTCAGCAGGTGATGGAGACATGAAAACCAAGACTAATTAATATCACATAAAGCCCACGAGTTACCATTTATATGTAGAACACTTACAATGCACTATGGTTTTATAAACCAAAACTCCTCAAGCGATGGGTACCAGTTTCAGGTTTTAGCTAGAATGAGAACACTTCACACGTTTTTAAGTTTTTGTTTAACTTTTGTTTAAATTTTCTTTACAGGCTCGATAAGAGGTGTTCCCTTTGGAAAGCAGTGACCGGTTTTAACCTCCAATTTCCTGGATTTGTGAGCAAAAAAGACTTGATAACCAAGCATATTAGTAATTCTACATTTTCCCATTATTCTCATTTAACTTTTAAAAACGATGGGAAGTACACGTCAGGCGTTACCGTGATGCCCTCCTTCTAGCCACCCCGATTTCCTCCTCCCTTGAAAAGAAAGGAAAAAAAAAAAAAATGAACCAACTAGCCTCAACCCATTGCGTCTGCTTGAGATCTCCAGGAAGCAGATGCCAAGATACAATTAGGAGGCCAAGAAACGTATTGGCAGACAAGCCGATGAGGGGCGAGAAGAGAGAGAAGACCGAGCAATGAGTGGGAGGAGGCTGAGACCATGGTGCTGACCTGATACCTGGGAAGGGAGACACGGAAGGGAGAGGATGTGGTGGACGACGTTCGGACTGTAGTGGAGCTCTGAGGAAGTCCAGGCCAACACAGGGCTCCCGAGCCAAGCCTGCCCATTAAAGGAGACCGAGATGTGTAGGCATGGCCCAGCTCCAGTACCCTCTCTGTGCTCATTGTTTGGGCAACCCAGGGACAGAATGGCCTCAACATGAATGCTGTGCTGGAGCCTGACGTTGCGGCCTCTGGAGGCCGTCAGCTAGCCCCTCCACCTGATGATCAGAAGTAATAGCCCCCGCCGGGATGGTGACTCCTTTTCTCACCATTGGTCCTGGACACAAGGAATCCATTCTATCCAGCTCAACGGAACTCTTGCTCTGTCCCCTGGCAAGAACGCATTCTCTCTGGGGACAAGGACCACTAACCCTACAGAGCCCAAAGTCTTGGGGGGCAGGAAGCACAAATTGCCCCAAGTTTCATTGAGAAGGAGAAGTGGGGCCGTGCTTGCTTCTACCCCTTAGTTCCTAGACCCCTGCATTCTTCTTACAGCATCATATAGGGCTCTTGGGTTTGGACTTATTCTACACTCTGGAGGAGAGCTCCCCATGTTTGTAGATGATGGCCTCTTAGGGGGTGCTCCAGCTGCCCTGTCAGCAGGCCATTGCAATACTCTATCAGGCTGACTGCCTCTGGGTGGTACAGCGTGGAATATGACCTGTGGATCACGTGACCTTTTTTGACTGAAATTATATCCCCCCGCTCACATACTGTTATGTAGGGTTCTGTGCCTATGGATCAAGCACTTCATAAGCTTTTAGACGGTGATGCCGACAGAGGCTCCGTGGGCAGGAAAGGCCAGCCCATACTTGGAATAGGACTCCGTTCCTAGGGAGAGAAACTGCTGGTCATTCCGGATTGAAAGGAGCCCAGTGTCATCAACTGTGGGTGGATGGTAGCTGTTGGTCTCTTTGGGCAATAAAGCCATGTCAGGGGCTCAGCACTGGTTCTGTGGCTGGCAGTTTCGACATTCAGAGGAAGTAATTAGGTTGGCGTTGGTAAGTGGAAGTTATGCCGTTGGGCCCATGTGTAGCCTCTGTCTCTGACATTATGACCACGCCATTCATGTACCCATCATGTTCTAGAGTACCCAGGGCTGAGAACTGCTGTCAACTGGTTGAGTCATCTTGTCAACCTAGTCGTCCAGTGTTCAGGGCGGATGCCTTTGGACTGGTATTAACGTGAAGTGTTGACATCTTGTGTCCATTCCCATAGGTCTCATCCACACGCCTTTACCCTGTGGATGGTTTTTATTTCCCATCATCCTTTTCCCTCCAGGCTCTGACCAGCTGGTTGGGCCACTGCCCAATGATTAGGAATCTCTATATGTTCTCATCTTGGGCCACTTTCCCTCTCCATAAAGCGGATGACAAGCAGCACTGCCTGCCCTCTAAAACGATTTTCCCTCCCCACTGTCTTTCGGCCCGGATGAGAATGTAATGCTGTTGTCGGGTTTCAGTTTCTCCCCCACAGACTGAGCCCAGTCATCTGTCATCCACGCTTGGGCTTTCTCCTGCTCCTTCGGCTGTCTGTATGACACCTTATTATCAGATCATGGATGAGAGCTTGGGGAAGGGAGCCGGTACCATCATGTGGGTGATTTGGAGGTCTGTGCTCCCTGACCATGCAGCTAACTTGTGTCCTCTGGTCTTACTCGGGCCCAGTTCCTGATGCACCATTTCTGTCCTACATGGCCGGGCCCATCTGGCTTTGTGAATTGACAGGCAAGACAGAACTCGGCTCTTAATGAATAGATCTGGACGGATGGTCAATGCTATGCTATAGTCAAGTATTCTATCTTTGTTAGGGCTCAGGAACATGCCAGGAGCTCTTTTTTGAGATGTGTGTAATTCTCCATTACACATGGCATGATCCTGGGCCAGAACACCAAGGTCCTGTGGTGGGATCTTCCTAATCGGGTTACTATGAATTCTACGCTGCATTTTTTTCTCACCACTGACACCTCCACACCACAGGGTCTGCCAGATGTTCTGGTCTAAGTGGGAAATCTGCCTTCACTACAGCCTGGACCTGCTGTGCAGTTCTTTCCCGATCAAGGCCCCACCTAGGGCTGGCATCCTTCCATGTCCTCCGGGGTACGCACTGGGACAGGATCCCTACATGTGCAAGAGGTGGCATTGTACTTTTCATTTCACAGTAGGGAACGCAGGATGTAGCAAAATGCCTTTACTGGGGAGGGGACTGCCTGACATATCCCTGGCCTTAAAAATGTGTACCTCCTTCTTTTCAGCCCTACCTTTTAGGATGCCCGAAAGCTTTACTGAAGTGGTCTGTCCCTGAATCTTTACAGAGTTTGTCTTCCAGCTTCCGGCACACGTGTTTCTTACCAAGGTCTCCAGCCCACTAGCCGTGTCTTCATCTGATCGATGTGACGGATCAATGTGAAGTTCTTCAGGTTGTCCAGATGGTCCAGATCTCTCCGGACTATATTAAGACAGGAGGTGGGCGAGCTAACATGGCCCTGGTACAGAACTGTAAATGAATATTGTTCATTCCAACGAATGCGAACTGCTTCTGATCCTATTTTCCATCTATTTTTTTCCATCCTATTTTACCATCTGCCACGGCAACTCAGGCGTCTCACCTTTGCTCTCCGGGCTTTAGAAAGCCACTTAGCAGTGTGTTCGCCCCCTTCCCCGGGGTCCTCGCTGGGGTGTTAAATCCCATGTCCCAAGAAAGTGACTCCAAGTCAACGTTTCCCTGCCTGTTCACTTTCACCTTCTAACCCCTTGGTCAAACACCCTCACAATCCCCCCCCCCCCCCCCCCCCCCCCCAGCTCCTCCTTTGCCCCTGACGGTATATGCTGACCAATCCTCGCAGGTCTTCGGGGGCATACTCTCTTTTCTCTGTAATCAGGCCCAGCCTGTCCCCAGCTCGGTTATGCTGGGAGGTAACTGCAGTTATTGGCCTGCCAGCCAGGAGGGGCAGCTGAGGGGGGAGCGGGTGTTGCCTTGCAGGGAGAGGCATCTGCAGTATCTTCCTGCACAAGGGAAGTCTAGCTCTTAATTAGAAAGGCGTGGGTCACCTCTGCAAGCTCTGCATGGTACCACCTTTGTAAGTTACCATGGAGGCCTCTGGCTCTCCCGGTGGTCCTTATTCACCTGCTTCCAGTTTCTCATTATCACTCGGCAGGGAACCCTCCAACTTCACTCTCCTTAAATACACCGGACCCCCTTTAACTTTCAAAATGCCTGGGCCACTGTACTGGCAATTCCCCTCCACCAGATGTCCCCCGGTCACCCGCGGTGATTTTATTTTTATTTTTATTTTTATTTTTTTGTAACCGAGCAACCAACCGTCTGATGCCAAGGACTAGCCGTGCTTCACATACCACTTGGATTGTGATCCTCCTCGCCAGCCATGGTGAATAAGCCAGTCTCAAAACCCCATCTGATTGCCAGCTTTCTGGAATCACTGCTGGTACCTTTTGTGTTATTTCAAGCTTTCTGGGAAGTGCAAAGCAAAGACAGAGTTAGAAATGTAAGAGATGTACGCAGGGAGTATAAAGGAAAGTGGAAACACGGTTAAGTGGGAGCGCCTCTAACCGCAACGCAGGAAGGCAGGATTGATGGGAAGAGACCCAGAGAAAGGTCCAGAAGGTTTTCGGCCAGGCTGGAGTGTCTCCTCGGAAGAGACCCAGTTGGGACAGGAATGTGGATGGTGCACCTTGGCCATTGCTCTGTGCCTGGCTTGCAGCTACCCTGGGAGACTGTGGCCTTGGCTTGAATACCATGGTGGACCCAGAAGGGGTGAGGGCTGGAGGCTCTCAGCCCACCATACCTCTCACCTCTTGCAGCAGGTTCTGACTCGTGGGGGGATGGGAGCGTGTGCTCTTGGCCTGCCGCAGTCACATGACTAGTTCCGTGGCAAGACCAGGATGAAAACCAGAATCATCACTAGGGTTTTAGAAGACTTGGGGTGCCTGGCTGGCTCAGTCGGTTGAGCGTCCGACTTCAGCTCAGGTCACAATCTCGCGGTCCGTGAGTTCGAGCCCCGCGTCGGGCTCTGGGCTGATGGCTCACAGCCTGGAGCCTACTTCCAATTCTGTGGCTCCCTCTCTCTCTGCCCCTCCCCCGTTCATGCTCTGTCTCTCTCTGTCTCAAAAATAAATAAATGTTAAAAAAAATTTTTTTTAAAAAGAAGACTAATCCTCTGCCCTTCTTATATTTGGGGGGGCAAGATTTAATTTCTGTTATATATTCTTCAACATATGATCTAGCATTGAACAACTCAAAGCAATAGGCCCTCAAAAAAGTCACCATCGACAATAAATTATACAAACTATTGAATCAAAATACATCCTAGTATTGAAAGTAGAAGTTCAGTCTTGGGGAGCTACACAATTCGGTGTTTGTTTTGATACATCTTTGTTAAGATTTGGTACATGTAAGGCGGGGTGCCCTCAGTGCCTGTCTGTAAGACAGGGACACTAAAATAACAATCTAGAATTTTAAATTTGGTGGCTAAGAACTTTACATATTTTAATATTTTTTTTTACTTTTTTATTTTTATTTTTTAATGTTTTTATTTATTTTTGAGACAGAGAGACAGAGCATGAGCAGGGGAGGGGCAGACAGAGAGGGAGACACAGAATCCAAAGCAGGCTCCAGGCTCTGAGCTGTCAGCACCGAGCCCGACGTGGGGCTCGAACTCATGGACTGTGAGATCATGACCTGAGCTGAAGTCAGACGCTTAACCGACTAAGCCACCCAGGCACCCCTTGATATGTTTTTTTTTAATTTTTAAAGTTTATTTATTTATTTTGAGAGAGAGAGAGTGAGCATGGAAAGGGCAAAGAGAAAGGAAGAGAGAGAGAATCCCAAGCAGGCTCCATGCTATTAGAGTGGAGCCCGATGCGGGCCTCGAACTCATGAACCAAGAGATCATGACCTGACTGGAAACCAAAAGCTGGACGCTTAACCAACTGAGCCTCCCAGGCGCTCCAATATGTTTTTTTTTTAAACATCATTGTACCATTTCTTTAAAAAAAGCTTTTTATCGTTTATATTTGAAAGAGAGAGAAAGGGAGAAAGAGAGAGACAGCGAGCATGAGCAGGGAAAGGGCAGAGAGAGAGGGAGACACAGAATCTGAAGCAGGCTCCAGGCTCTGAGCTGTCAGCACAGAGCCCAACATGGGGCTCGAAGTCACGAACCCACAAGATCATGACCTGAGCCAAAGTCAGACACTTAACCCCATCATTGTACCATTTCAGATAAATTTGCCATACGAGAGCTGGGAAATTGTCTTGTTTGCTGTCATATTTCCAGGACTTGCTTCCAAGATTGCTTGGCATGTATTTGGTTGTCAATAGTATCTGTTAAACAAGTGCCACTGCTGAACTAGAAACCCCTAAGAGTAGGGATCATGGTCATTTTTCTTCACTGGCACACAGTAAGAACTTACGTCAACAAATCCAGCAACCATCTTTATTCAGTGGCTGCTATGTCCTGGGCACTGTGTTAGGCGCTAGGGACATATTAACCAACAAAAGTAAGACTCCCTGCCAATAAACATCCAACAGTAACAAATGAGAGCTAAGTGCACTGGAGGAGATGTTACGGGTACCACAGTGGAAAGAATAAAACCGGGTAATGGGAGAGCCAGGTTGGGCGGACAGATTACAATCGTAAATGGGGTGGTCAGAGTGACGTCATTGAGAAGGAGAGATTTCAGAGAAGACTTGGGAGTTGGCCCAGCATCTCTGGGGGAGGAGCCTTCCAGGCAGAGGAAAGAGCTAGAACAGGGGATACAAGGCGGGAGTCATCCATCATCACACATGACTGGTGTCCTTGAGGAAGAGGGAGGAGGCCTGTGTTCCTGGTGTCGGCTAAGGGAAGAAACTAGCAGGACACAAGGTCAGTAGGAGTGCTTGGCAAAGCATAAGTGGGTTTTTAGGCCAGATTGAAGACTTTGGGTTTTACTTTGAGCGAAAAGAGGAACCATCTTAGTGTTCTGAGCAGTGGAGAAAAGGATCTGACTTCAAACAATAAACTTTGTTGGAGCGCCTGGGCTCCGTTCATTGAGTGTGTCTGACTTTGGCTCAGGTCATGATCTCATGGTCTGTGAGTTCAAGCCCCGCCTCAGGCTCTGTGCTGACAGCTCAGAGCCCGGAGCCTGCTTCGGAGTCTGGGTCTCCCTCTCTCTCTCCCCTCCCCCACTTGTGCTCCGTCTCTGTCTCTCTCAAAAAGAAATAAGCATTAAAAAGAAACAGTAAACTTTGTAGAATTAATGCATATTGTGAAGTAGCTATGATCATCTGATTCTGTGGCCCAAGAACGGGTTCTGGCAAACTCCATGTAAGGATGTGTATTTTCCTGATTTTTCCTGAGCGTCACATTCTTGCTCTCCAGGGAGCCCCTGGTCTTATGCCACCGTATCATTCCCACTTTACAGCCGTAGGGGGAGTTTTCTACCAGTCGTGTCGTCACGACTAACTTCTGGATACACTTGTTAGTTTCTAGAGCATTTCTACGATTTATTATGCCACTCAAATTATCACGACAACTACATGTGGTGGGGATTAGATCACACCTATGTCACAAATAGAAACACAGGAGTTGAGAGGTGATATCTATGTTGACCACAGTCACTCCGTTAATAAATGGTAGAGTCTGGATTTTGCCTCCTTGTCTAGTGTTTATGGGGCCGCACTGTAGGTCTGAAAGAGGTGAAGTTCATCTTCCCCAGGCAGGGCTCACCGTCCAGGTGGGAGGCCAGGATAGGAGTCAACAAAGTGCCAAAAATATCAGAATAAAGAAGTAGAGGCCAAGTGCCAAAGTCGTGGTGGGTTTAGCAGAAAAAAGGCCCACAAAGAGGATGCGGGTTGTAATGGTTGGTACCCTTAGATATACCGAAATGGGTGGGGGGAGCGTTGAGGTGGTGGGAATTGTGCCCCCAGCAAATTCTCGGGGTCAAGACAAACACTGTGTCCCCTAGGAAAGGGTGCGTAGACACAAACGGTTGCAATCTCCATGTGGAGTGGGGGTTCCAGGAAATAAAATTACCGTAGGTAGAAAAAGGCTGTGTTATACCGAGTCCCAGGTCATAGACTAAGAACCATTTGTTCCATTCACTGGAGGTTGACCATAATTTCTGAGCGGAGATAGTGATGTTTGCAAAGTTGGTTTGTTTTTGCTCCTCTCTTCGAACTTTAGTTTTTTAAGTTTATTTATTTACTTTGAGACAGACAGAGACAGCACAATGGGGAAGGGGCAGAGAGACAGGGAAAGAGAGAATCCCAAGCAGGCTCCGAGCTGTCAGCACAGAGCCTGATGCAGGGCTTAAGCTCCCAAAACTGTGAGATCACGATGAGAGCTGAAACCAAGAGTGAAATGCTCCACCGACGGAGCCACCCAGATGCCCCAAATCTCTTTGGCCTTTTTAAGAACGCTCAATGTAACAAGACTGTGCCAAAATGCTTTAGCGGCATGGCAGGCAGTGTCTTGGAACTGACTTCCTCCAGAAGTCAACCCTAAAACAAAAATCCAAGGGAAAAGGACTGATTTTGGAGGCAGTGCCAGGAAATACCAGCATGGAACTGGGGGAGAGAGGGAAAAGCAGGCTGCCGACAAAGTGTTCACTCTGAAGCTGTCTACCATTGTGGGTAACTGGAGATTAACCTTGTTGGGGAACTCTGGGAGCCAGTGTAGAACACACCCCCAAGGGGTGCAGGAGCTGGGGTGTTTATACACGTAAGCTCCCACCAGTCACAGGTTGAGGGTTGCTTCTGGAGATGGCGGCTGTAGCGAGGTAGCATCGGCAGAACCCCTCAAAGATGCATCTGCTGGCGGGGGAGGGGGGTGGACGGTGCTCAGTGGAGAAGTGACGGTGGCAGATATGGACAGGCCACCGGCAGGAATAACTGAGGATCATTTCAGTCCCCTGAGCACAGAGTGACACGGGTCCAGACCGATGTGCCGAGGGCAGGGGGTAAAAGAAGGAACAGATTTTAAGAGCTCTTATAAAGGATGAGTTGCAAGCTTGGTCTTCCAGACTCTTGCCTTATAAGGGGACAAGTGACTCTAGCCCTTTAATGACACTGAGGTTAAACTCTGAGAAATGTTGGCCTGGCCCCACGTGGCATCTTTTGAATACATCTGAGAACATGAGTATTCATAAGACTAATTTTAAAATACCTATAAATTACACATATTAGGCAAGGACCTGGGAAGAGGGGTGATAATACTTCTAAACACGCTCAAGGGAGGGTACTGGAACACACGACCCAGTTCCAGACTCGCTCATTTAGTTACCCTGCCTTTTTCATGGGAACGAAAGAAAAAATAATGAAGAAATAATGCGAATCAGGAACAATACCTAAGAATAACTGACACCAACAAAACAAATAAATAAATAAGGTTAGTACAACCTCACTGTTGGCTCAAATATTTCAAGCAGGAGCTTTTGAGAAAACTCGCCAAAGTCTGAAAATCAGAGAATAGAAGCATTGGAGAATAAGTTACTAGGGCATGAATGTGGCCTCATTCTCATAGCTAGGACTGAAAGATCGAGAGGCGTTTGTCCTGTCCTCACCCCATGTTCCTTGGCAGGACAGACAAAGGAAGGAAGGAAGGAAGGAAGGAAGGAAGGAAGGAAGGAAGGAAG